CCCCCCCCCCCCCCGGCCCAAACCAAGACTCTTGGGAGGGAGCCGGGGAAGGGAGGGCCTGTGTGTACGTCTGTGCGTGCGGGTATATTCTTGTGCCGCCGCCTCCGATGGGCGAAGACAGGCCGAAGCCTTGGCCCGGGTCACGTCCGGGGTATCACATGACGCCCGCGTCGGCTGATGTGTCCGGCAGCCAGAGAGGTTCACGGAAGGCCTCCCGCACGCGGGTGGCTTTCTCCCGGCCGATGCCCGGGACGGCTTGCAGGTCGGCCACCGATGCGGCGGCCAGCGCCTGGACGGTCTAGCAAGGTGAAGGGAAGGAAGGGGACCCCCGCACCGGCGAGGGTCGAGGCGATGGTGTGTCAGAAGATGCAAGACGCCCCCCGGCCTGCCGGTGGGGGGGAATTTGCCGAGGGGAGCCCCCGAGGGGTGCCAGGGGCAAGAGGACAGCCGTCGGGCGGCGGCAGGGCCTGCAAACAGATGCGCCGGGAGGAGGCGGACAAAGGCAGAGGGCGAGAGGGCGGGAAGGGTGCACATACAGGGAAGGTGCGCCGCAGGCGCTGGGCATCGGTCCGGTTGATGCCGCGCACGGTCAGCAGGAAGCCCACGATGTCTGGCGCGTGGGGGTCGCGCCGGGTGTGGCGCTGCGCCGGCCCGGTGCCCTCGGCATCCGGGTCGTCGTCAAGGTCATCGTCATCGTCGTCCTGGCCGGCATGGTCCCCGCCGGCCGAGGGTCCCGTCAGATAGTGCAGCGGCAGGGTCGTCGTGCCGGCCATGGCGAGGGTCGTCCGGCGAGTCGTGACCAGGATGCGGGCCACTTCGTCCGGGGTCTCGGCCAGCAGGATGGTCAGCCGGTAGTTGACTGCCAGCCGGGTGAGCTCGGTGAGGATGTCCGTGTCATTGGGCTGGCGATGGGCCCCCCACCCCGCGGCATGGAGTGATCACCGTCAGCTGAAAGCACGAGGGGCGGCCGCGAGGGGCGGCCGCGAGGGGCGGCCTCGAGGAGTGCCAGCAAAGCGGAGGCGAAGGCAGGAGGATGGAGATGGAGATGGAGGGCATGAGGGGCAGGTACGCACACTATCGCACAAGACCAGCAGCAGGCGCAGGTCGAAGCTGCCGCCGAGGCGCTTGGCCTGTTCGTACACGTAGGCGGGAAATTGCCGGTGGTAGCTTGTGCTGGGTCGATGCGTGCGTGTGTGTGTGTGTGTAAATGGGTGAACGAGCGGGTCAGCTTCGGAAACCCCCTCCCCCCCCCCCCCCCCCCGGGAATCAGACAGCACAAGGCGAGGGAGCGAGTCGGGGATGGGCAACGGACCAGAGGAAGATGGCGCATGCCGTGCGCCCAAGGATAAAGTCCCCACAGGCCAGCGGCAGAAACTCGACTGCCGGTGGTGGGTCAGTGGGAAGATCCTGCGGATCGCGCGTGCGGCGAGTCCCGGCCGCTCGGCTTGCCAAAACCATCCGGCGCATGCGTTCAAGAGCAATGAGCGCGGGGTTACCCCTCTGCCGGAGGCACAGGGAAATGCGTTTGTTTGGGGGGGGGGGGAGGGGTGAGGAAGGACGAAAGGAAGAAGGCCCCGACAGCGGACGGTCAGGCATGTGTGGGGGCGTAGGGCACTGTGGCCCGGGGGCCAGGCTGGCGGGTGCATACCTGCCGCGGATCAGCAATGATGCTGTCCCCGTCATACGCAACAAGTGGCTCCAATTGTGCCGGGTCCACGGGCGGTGCTTGTGTTGCCGGGCTCCCCGAGAGGGAGGGCGATGAGGCGGGCGCCGGCATCGGGAGAAGTCCACGAGGGCAAGTGGGGATGCGTGCGTGCGTGCGTGCGTGCGTGCGACGGGTCACAGGCCGAGGGCAGGGAGAGATAGCGGGAGCATGGAGGTGGGAGGGGTGTGCCTTCGAGGTTTTTCAAATGTCCCCGGCGACCTCCCGGCCCAGATCTTGCTCCGCCAGCCGAAGGCGCTCCTACTGTGGGGGGGAGGGTGCCAGACGGGCGGCTGAGAACGGATCGCGGACAGCAATGAACGGCTCATCGGCGGCCCGGGCATCGATCATGGTTCGTTGGGAGTAGAAGCTGTCCAGGCCGCCCCCCCCCCCCCCCCCCCGGTCCGCGTTTCGTACTCACTCTTCCTTTTGGCCTTTTGCTCGCGCGCGCGTCGCCCTCGCCTATGCACCCGGCCTCCGGAATATGCTCGGATCGACCGACCATCGGGGAGGGAAAGCCGGATGCCGGGCCTTCTTTCGTGTGTCTTTATTTTTATTTTCACTTTTCATCCGCCGGCCAACAGGCGGGGAGGCATTAGGAGGGGGAGGCCGAGAGCGCCCAGAGGGAGGGAGCCGTGCGCCGGGGTCGCCCGACCTCTGGCCGCAGGACACCCTCCAGCACTCAAGCAGACTCGCCGGTATCCGGGGAAGATGACTCCACGGAGGCGGCCTGCGCGTCGGGGACGACGTGCGCCGTGTGGTGGTGCTGCGGGCTGCGGCTGCGCAGAAGCGCCAACGTAAAGCCCGACTGCGGGGACAGCTGGCGGACCATGGTCCTCCTACCGGAGTCGCGCGAAGGGAGTGCAGGCGAGGAGGACAGGGCCGGGGTCAGTCAGGAGCCACCATCTCGCGGCCAGTCTCCCAGGGGGAACATACCCAGAGTCGCTCTCCACGACCAAGGTGACAGGCACCGCCGAGGGAGCGGACGGGGCGCCGGCCCCGGCGGTGCGGTTGAAAATCGCCGCCAGCCGGCGCGAGTGGTCGATGGCCGCCGAGAAGAAGGGGCTCTGCTCGGGCGCAAGCTTGCCGGCAGCTGCGGGCGAGGGGAATTTCGTGTCAGCCACAGGGAGACCGCACGCGGGGAGGAGGGGAGTCACCGCGGGGACCGGGGTTCGGCGCAGCAGGGGATGCCAGGCGAGACAGTACCATGGATGCAGAAGCCATCCGGGCCGGACACCAGGACACCGTCGTTCCCGGGCTGCGATCTTCGCCCGAGGGAAAGCGCGCGTTTGAGCGGGACAGCAGATAGGGGGAGGCGGCGGGCAGATGGCGGGAGTTAGCCTCGGGCGTGGGGAGTGAGCCGAGCAGCAGAGGCGGCGGCGGCGGCGGCGGCGGCGGCGACCCGAGCGACGATGCCCACGCACAGGACGGCTGACAGCGCGTTCGAGACCGGCAGGTCCATCGTGGCGAGAGTCGGGCAAGAGCGAGCGAGCGAGCGAGCGAGCGAGAGGGGGCGCGAGCAGGAGGGCCAAAAGGGGGCGAGGGCGCGAGGGTATGGGAACGGGGGCGAGGGGCGTGCAGACACGGACAGGGGAGAGAGGTGCCGAGGTGCCGACGCCGGTCCGGCCGCCGGCCGGCCGCTGAAGAGGGGGCGCGGAGCGCTGTTCTGCGGCGTGATCGCACCGCGTGACCGGATGCCAACGCTGGACACAGGGAGCGCGTCCGCCGTTCGGGGGCTCATCGAGAGGCGTGGCCCGCCCCCGCGGGGTTTTAACCGGGGTTGCGTGGGTGTTCCAACACCCGGGCTGGTTTTCGCCGCGCCACGCCTTCGCGTCGCCCCGGCCGGGGGTGTGTGGCGTGTGCTGGGGGCGTCCGGTCGGCGCCCAGGGAATATGTTGCAGATGTGCGTCCCAGGGGCGCCGCGGGCGGGTGTTTCTGCCGGCGCCGACAGCCCCTTCGGGAGCCAGAGATCAGGGAGGGCGGTTGCAGGGTGCGCGGGCGGGCGGGCGGGCGGGCGGGCGGGCGGGAGAGGGGGCCAGAGAAGAGGAAAGCCCGGAGCGCACGTCCATGGCAAATGAGCCCGGCGCGGGCCGACCCCTGGATGAGAGACGGTGTCGGGGGTACCTGACCCCGGCCCCGGTCTTGGCCCCGGCCGACGCGGCGCGTCCCCTGCCCCGGCCCCTCGTCCCTGCCCGGCTCGGGGGGATGTGGGTGATCGCGCGCGATCTCGACCCGACGGGGGCGGGCATCCGCGCGAGAAGGGGCCTCGGATTCCCGACTGGGCAAAGAAGAGCCGGCCGGGATCGACAGGGCCCCTGGGCTGGCGCGCGCACGCGCGCGCGATCGCCGGTGGGACGCGAGGCGAGGATTGGCACCCGTCCAGGGGTCCAAGCGCGGCCCCAGGGGAAGGCGATCCCCCTCCCTGCGCCGGTGCCCCTACCCTCCCGTCGGCGGTGGGCGGCGGTTGGCGGCGGCGGCGGCGGCGGCGGCGGCGGAGGAGGAGGGATGGCGAGGCGCCCCTGCGTGCCGTGCTGGTCCCCGGCGCCTGCTCCCCTCTCTCCTCGTCCTGGTCTCGACCGCGCGAGTGTGCGTACGGGGGTGTGCAACGGCTGCCCCTTCTTAGGGACGGCCTGCTGCACCATGCCACCCCGGGGTGACCGTGCCACAGCCCCATCCCAGCCTCTTGCCCCTCCCCCTTTGTCTGCCTGCCTCGCGCCCTCCCTCCCTCCCTCTCTCTCTCCCTCCTCCTCTCTCTTTCCCC